AGTCATGTGATACTTGTAGGGTCCTAACCCTGAAGGTTTAGGTAGCTACAATCCCCTTAGCCAATAAACCCCTCCAACCCCCTAAAACCCCCTAAAACCAGGAATCAGCCTCAAGACCCCCAGCCTACACACGCTGCAGTTTCAGGTTTGGTTTCTCACGGGCTGTCAGGAGAGACTCCAAAGCCCAATAACACATATGACCCTTATATCCTCCTTATATACCTATATACCCCGTATATAATTTGTGTTCCTATATGAGCCATTGTCTAAACTCCTAGTATCCCCCTTAATAACACCTATAGTAGTCCCCTATATAAGCCCCTATATAACCCCTTTTAAGGAGTTTAGACTATAGCTCATATAAACCCCTGATACGATACCCTCAAAACTTTCTAAAGTCGAACCAGAGAAGCTTAGAGCTAAAAAGCACACGAAAGCATCGATTTCTCGTGTACCTGCCACTGCACGGTTGAGGGTTCAGGGTTAGGGGTGTAGGGTTTAAGGTTTAGGGTTTAGGATTTAGGGTGTAGGGTTTAGTTCAGGGTTTCAGGTTTAGTGATTGGGGTGAGGTTTGGGAACTGTACTTCAGGGACCATGTTTCGCAAACGCTTGCTGTTGCTATGTATCCATAGTTTGGTAACTGAACTCAAGATCCTTCAGAGCAACCCAGACTTCGTTGAACCTCTTTTCTTAACATTACATGCCCCCTTTGCCCCCTTTCAGGTCCAGCTGGAAGCCTTCGATTTCGGGTTTGAGTAGGCTGTTGGATTTAGGTTCTAAGGCACCAAAAAATCTGTCCCGAATGCAAACAAGGAGCACCGACTCATCAACAACTGAAACTTCTGGCGAAGGGGGGGAACCTGCAGCTTCATCACCCGACAGCCTTACTTGGATGAGGGTTTGGTTTAGGGCTTACTTGTGGTCAGTTGGGAGGTAGGGAAGATGGAATAGAGGGGCAACAAAACGGGAATCTGTAGAGACAAAAAAAAGGCAAAGGGACTTCTGAAGGAATGGAAAAAATGGAAGCCATCATACAGTGCAGGGACTTGTACAGTAGGACCTACTATATCCATTCCTCCATTCCCTGCTAACCATTAGTCAGCGTCTACCTGGCTTGCATTCAGGAGGTACGGGGGTAGGCCGCTGGTTCTGGAGTAATTAATCTGGCTCTGGGGTCATTAGGGTCACAACCTAGACTTTCAATTCCCTTTACAGGGCCCCACCACCCATGAATAAAACCTACACAGAACCCATTCAAGAGCAATTCAGGCGGTCCTGGAAATTCCCCGAATCCACTCAAATCTGGTTGAAGGGTGCACCGGAGGGAGAAGCGAAGCTCTCGAATGTCACCAATTTGGATAGTCCCTGCCTACAAAATTACGACGAGCGACCGCCCGCATGCCTCCAGCACCAGCTTCTTGTCGCTGCACTTCGGCTTTTTGGGCTTTGCTCTTGCAAAAAGTAGCTCGGCTTTACAGCTCCCTGCCTTACTCTGTTTTTGAGGGTAGCCCAATGCGCCCTAAGTGAAGGCAAACTTGGATACGGGAATCCCAAATATGACTTAAGACACACATTCCGACGGTAAAGGGTGTTGTGAAGGGGTATTGGGCATAGTTGGTGACTTAAGTTACTGAGAAGGCTCCCGGAAGGAATTAAACAGCCACATATTGTGACACCCTGCTTTTGTCTTTACAGACCTACTCTGCTTGAGCTAGTAGGTAGGCCAAAATCCTAAAACAAGTTTTTGCACCAGATTCACAGAAAGCCTTGCAATGGCACGTAAGGCTATTGCGGCTTCTCACGGTCAGACTCTGACATGCCTGCGGTACCCTTACCCCCAATAATTTACATCCCACAAGAATACAATCCCACTTCCATGCCAGCTTCCATTGTCTTTTCCATTTGATTATCCATTACTGGGGAGTCATATCCCTAAAACTTAAACAAAATCTGTGCGAAAAAGCTGCCACGCGCTGCGCCCGCACGAATTCCATGAACTTCTTGACAAAGTACCCCGCTTGCGCGTTGCTCGTGAACGCCAAGGCGTGGCAACAGCACTGACTGCCGGCGTCGTCGCTACCGACAGATTGTAAATGTTTTGCTATGACATGCTTGGAGAACTTTTCCTCCGTGGTGGAGTCTAGCTCAAACAAGGACTCTGTATCGACCATCCTGGGTTGCTGTTAAAGGAATTTAAAATAAGTTACTATATTGGGGAAACCCTACTATTTACTATATATACCCATTATGGTAACTTAACTTAAGTTCCTTAACAGCAACCCAGCATCTTGCCACATAGTTCAAGGCAAAATTGATTCAAGAGATCGTAGAAGGCTGAGAGAACTTCACCGGGCTCAAGGTACGGATTCCTTAGTGGTGGTTCCTAGGGAATTATAGGGTTTAGGGTTTAGGGTTTAGGGTTTAGGTAGAATCCTTATATAACCCCATGTAATATATACCCTTAACCCTGAACCTCTGAACCCCTACGTATATACATACATACATCTATATATGCCTAGAATATGTTCCCTTAACCGTAAACCCTGAATCCCTGTATATATATGTGTGCATATCGACGTGTATATGTGTGTATATATATATATACATGCCTTCTTCCCTACTCACCACCAGGTAAGACTCACACATCGGGGGAACTCCAGGTCGAAATAGAGCCAGCAAGGTTGCCTCTCCATCAATACCTTCAAGGGCTTCAGGCAGTTTAGGGGGTTTAGGGTTTAGGGTTTCAGCCAGTTCAGGCTTTAGGGTTTAGGACCTGGGTTGTACCCCTTGGTTTTGGGATCCTTTAACGGTACCCCAGGGGAATCACCTTGACTCATACAATGGCTCCTCCATCAATATCTCCTCAGGTGAGTAGCGTTTTCTTTGGTGGTTGAACCTAGTAAGATTATATTCCTTATATAAGATACTATACCCCAAAAGGAGGATATTGTCTTACTCTATACGTAATGGGTACCACAGTATCCCCAAATTAAATACTACTCAGCTGACTGTTCTGAGACCATGGACAACCTTAAAAAGGGTTGAGGGTTTACAGGGTTTTTAAGGTTTTTAGGGTTTTTAGGGTTTGGGGTTTATGGGGTTTATAGGGTTTGTAGGGAATAGTAGGATCAGGACTTATAGAGTTTAGGGTTTAAAGAGTTTATAGGGTTTAGGGTTTAGGGGGGCTAGGGTTTATGGCCCGAAAAAATACGGTACCATCTTGACGTCTTTTCGAGTTACTCTATACCAGAGCTAAATAAGGAGAGAATAATACTCATTATCCCTAAAACCCATCATATGCAAGCCCACCGATTCTCTTTCCCATCTCGTTCTCCAGCATTACTTATTACCATTGTAGCGGTAGTGCTTGAAGCCCTAAACCTCTAAACCCTAAACCCATAGTATTGTAGTCCCATAAGCCTTTTTCATCAGCCTGCCTGGTATTTAGCAGGGAATGGGTTGCAAGGACTCATTGTTAAGGGTTGAGGGTTTAGGGTTTAAGGCTTAGGGTTTAGGAGGCGGGTGTACCCGCTGCCTAACTACCGCTTCCCCGGCCGGCATCTTATTGTATCAAGGCAGGAGGTTTCCAGAAATTGCAAGGTCCCTTTTCCGGGGTGGTTATAGCAAGCATTATGACTTACGAGGACCATCCACCCTGTAATAATGGTATAAAAGGGACATAAAAGGACCCCCTGACATAATCCTTTGTATCCCTTATGGTCGCTATTACTGGGTGGATGTAAATTATAACATTTTGAAGTCTAGTGTATATAGGGCTCCCTACTACTGATGAAACTACCCCAAAAAAGGGATTGCAAAAGGGATCCGAATCCCAAATTCTCTACGAAGCAACCCTACACCCTAAGCCGTGAACCTGAAGCCCTGGCATAAAAGTTCCCATGCCCTTTGCTTGTTTCTGGTGCGTTTGATTCTCAACTCTCAACTGTGCTTTATCCCTATGCTTATCTGTTGCTGTATACCCTAAACCCCAAAACCCTAAGCCCTAAGCCCTAAACCCGTTAACCCTAAACCCCTGAGCGCTATACTAAACCCTAAGCCCCAAACCCTCAACCCTAAACCCTACGACAACAGGGCCGAAGCCATCCAAGCCTCGTAGAGATGTTGCTGTGGCAACCTCTCCGAGTTTTGCGCCCATTGCCTCTGTGCTGTCCACAGGCTGTAGACCAGACTCATGTGCTAGGCTTTAGAATTTTGGGTTTTGGGGTTTAGGGCTTTGGGTTTAGTGTTTAGGGTTTAGGGTACCCTCCACAAAACCCTTCTGTAGCGACACTACCCAGTGGAGTAGTACTTTACCGGACACGCGGTCGAAGGGTGTTGGAAAGCCAAACCTGTACAAGGGTTATATGATGCTGTAGAAGGATTTTTGGCAGCGATATACGGGTTACATGAGCTTACGTCACGTGAGCTATAGTCTCAACTCCTAGGATCCCCCTTAATAACCCCTATATAACCCCTTTTAAAGGGTTTAGCCTCTTGCTCACATAAGGGTTACGAGGAGCAAAAAATGAAAAGCATGTTCAATAATACCCTAAACCCTAAACCCTAGACCAAGCGGCTTGGAGCTCGGGGCAGATTTGAGTGCGAAGCCAGCTTTGGTGTCGACCAGGAAGCGGCGGCAGCCCGTGGAAGTAAACTCACTGGAGAAAAGCCCGACCTGCGAACTTCCCAATTTCCCTAAATACTATTTTCCATGTTCTTTTTCCATTATCCTCTATATAACCCCCTATATAACACCCCCCCAAGGGAAATCTACAGACTTTAGTGGGAATGAGGGAAGTCTCAAAAGGGACAATCCCCTGCCTGATGCAACTCGTAGCTTCCTTGCGCAAGGAGGCCCTCGAGGTAGCGGATGGCCTCAGCTTGCCTTGCAAAGCTGCGAGGTGGCGGGGGGTGCAGGGCCTGCTGAGGGCTAAGCCCCCCCTGCCTCCTTAAACGGAGTTCCAGGTCTTCTCCGGAATCTTGCGTTTTTGGCTTAGCATTGCACCCGGCAGCAATGTCTGCCTCTGCCATGTCCGGGAGAGGGGAAGGTATCTCTTGCTTAGAATTCTCCCGCTCTTCACCCTCACTTGCTGTGGTCTCCACATCCTCATCAGTTGTGCACACCTCCTGGCTAGATGTAGCGTCTTCGTCCCATAGCTTTGCCGGAGCGCCATGTTCTGAATCAACCTGCGTGGAGTCGCACTGCGTGTCTGCGTAGCAGTCCTCATCGCGCAGCGTCTCTTGTGTGTTCTGAGTATCCAGTAGCCGGTCAATGATGCTTCCGCTCATGCGGCCTATTGCCACGGTGCCATTGCTGGAGGCCACAGCCGCACTCGGTTTGGCCTCGAGGCCTCTTCGAGGCCTCTGAGAGGTCTACTTGAGGCAGCTGCGGGCCAACACAATCCACGTGTACTCAAGCGCAGAAATCACACACACGCTGCAAACAGTCAAAGACCTTAGCAGGCCATCTCAAGAACAATTCCGTTGAGGCAAAGACCAGTTCGATATCAGCCTTGTCCCATTCGGCGCGCCAAGCCTTCAACAACTTTTGGCGTACACACGAGCCGTCACAAGCTTGGAAGTCAGCGGTGTGAACTACTGCTGTGACCATTTCCGTAAACGGCATCCCAGAGTACTGGAGGGCTGGCCCTCTTCCCCAAAAGTTTTCCGGGTCCACCCTTAGCCTCCTGGATAACATCCTACACTAAGACCCCCCAACTCTGAACCCTTGGATGCTCCGCCAGAAAAGTACTACTAATGGTATAGACCTAGCTTCCCTCTATAACTTTGTGATATTGGGATCATGGAAAATCAAATGGAAACTACTATTTGTAAGGTGCGCACAGAGCAGTGCTCCTCATCCACTTCAGGCAAAGTCAGCGGCTCGTCTTCGCCATCTGCGGCTGAGCCAAGTGTGAATGACAATGCTAATGATACTTTAGGTGGACCCCCCACCCAGTAATAGTGACTAATTATAAGGGATAATAGGGCTTGTATTAGGGTCCTCTTATATTCTTTCTATACCACTATTACAGGGGGGGGTCCTCCTAAATGATACTAAGCCTCATTGATAACAGGAATGGGGTTACACGCAATCATGATTACCGTATTATAACCACAACGTCAATGATCTGGGATGGCCTTGGGCCTGAGCGACAAGGTTTGGGGTTTGTGGCGAGGTGTGAAACAGTTCCTGCTGATAGGTACAACCATGCACTGAATCGCTGAAGTAGGTACTACTTTAGAAACCTCCACAACTTCCCTACCATCTTGAACTGCAGGAACGACAAAAGTCACGGTATTCTGTCAACAGCCAGAGTCGAATTTGCGCTCAAAGACTTTTGCAAGTGAGGATCTTTTTTTCTTTTTCAGAATGTTGAGAACCCACCTGTGAAGCTCCCTAAGTGCCTAAGAGAACCTCATAAACCCCATATCAGAAAATCTCCAAAATTACAGAGGGGCAGTATTATTGCAGCCTGATTATAATGGGAACCCAACAAGACCAGAACTTGAACAAGTGCACTATGTAAGCAAAGCCCAAAGAAGGGATCGATGACCGGCTTTCTGTTAAGGACCTTAGGATAAGCTACTTAGTCAGGAAACCCATCATGTACCACGTATCCATACTTCCGAGACGTAACTTAAGTTTCTTGACAGAAACTCGAACAAGCCCTCGGTGCACGCCTTCCATCTCTCCAACGTTGTCTGCTCTGGAGAGAAACTTCTGAAAGCGGTTGGTCTCGGTGGCACTTGGGTGTTTCTCCAACTGAGAGTACCCCTACTTGGAGGTCTAGTGCAGTTGACCCTAAACCCTATAAAACCTAAACCCTGTAAACTATAAACCCTTGACCCTATAACCCCTAAACCCGATAAACCCTAAACCATTTTCAACACCAAACCGTTACTTCGTAGGCTACTTTGTAACTACCCTAGACCTATAAGTAGAAGTTTAGGGACGAAAGATGAATGGGTGGAGCTGCTGCAAGTCTCCTTAGAGACTACAGGGCTTAGGGTTTAGGGCTTATAAAGGTTTATGGTCCGACTCAAGTAGATAGAATATGGGGTATATGGGGATCTTATTTTAATATACCCAAAGCCGTATTCGATCTACTTAAGGGGGACTATACGGCTTAGGGTTTAGAGTTTTGGATGATGTGCTTTATCGCACTTCTGTTGACTTGCAGAAAGCAAACGGAACTAGGCCTGCAAGTTCAAGCATGACTTTGGGAGACCAGATAGAAAGCCGTCTTCGAACCCATCGTCTTCTTGACCCACTTTAGTAAGAGGATTGTTGGAAGCCCGAAAGTTCGGACCCTAAAAAAAACACATCACCAATGCACTGTAGGGTCCTACTTTTGGGGGCTGGAATTACTGAAATCCTCCTACTGCATATCTTGAGTGAAAGGCCGGAAACGACAATGGGCCATAATCAGAGTGAAAAAATGACCTGCACTACACGTCCTGGAACACAACATAGGCAACAACAGCAAACCCTACATCTAAACCCCCAAACCCTAGTCTCTAGTCTCTGAACCTTAAGCCCTCTAAGCCTTAAACCCTAAACCGTAAACACTAGACCCTAAGCCCTAAATCCTAAACCCTAAACCCTAAACCCTATATAACCCCATTATAGTAGTTTCCATTTTCTTTTCCATTATCCCTAGATAAACCCCAATATATAGCCCTAAACCCCAAACCCTGACCCAAGCAAAACAAAAGGCAGCGACTCACAGGCCACTGAGAGCCATACTGGAACGCTGACGCCCAAGGCAAGTCGCAACCTTTTTGTTGTCTTAGCAGGTCCCTTTCACTGGGTTGCTGTTAAGGAACTTAAATTAAGTTACCATAATGGGCTTAGGGTTTACTGTTTAGGGTTTAGGGTTACCATAGTGGGTATATATAGTAAATAACAGGGTTTACCCAATATAGTAACTTAAATTGAGTTTCTTAACAGCAACCCTGTTTAAAGGGCTTGTAGGATGGATAGATAGATAGATAGATATGTGTATATAGGTGTGCAAACATGTGTATATATGTAATGGGCTAGGGAACCTCCTTATAAAGGCTTCAAGTAGGTCTGGAAAGGTTAGAATGGAGTGATGAAAGGGGATGTAATGTATTACTTAACTCCAGGGTCCCTCAAGGCGGGGCTTACATGAGATTTGAGGACAAGGTTCAGGGTTGAGGCTTTAGGCATATTCGCCGGCTCCCCTGATTGATGGGATCCATACTCCAAGAAAGGCCGAAAACCCCCCTAAACCCTAAACCCTAAACCCCTTAAACCCTTCACCCTCAGTTTTCTCAGCCCCAAACGATCATCCCGAAACAAAAAGGCCAACAGGCGTCTGGCTAGATCAGGGCAGAAGATAACAAATTTGTGGACCTGCTTATTCTTCGCGAATCCACATGTCAACGGGAGGACTCATCTTGCGGGAAGGATCGTACTACAACGATTGATCTCACTGTTCCTCCTTGCTCTGCGTCTCTCTAACAGCCTGGATATTCCTTGCTTGGGATGCTGGAATCCGCGGTTGCTTTGTGACCTCCCTGGTAGTGACTGTTGGGCCTTTTGCTTCCCTGTCATCCAGGTACTCCTGTTCTGCTGCGCCTTTTCTGCTGTCCTGAGGGCTTCACCGACCACTGTTCGCGATGACAGAGACTACCTCCACAGCGAGCTGACACAGAGCTGTAGTCAAAACATTCAAGGACGCGTGAATGAGGGTCCCTTGCTCTCGTTACATGCAAAGCTTACCTTAGAGGTTCCATATATAGTAGTTTCCCAAAATGGGTGGGCGAGCCCCCAAAAAAGTACCCCTAATTTTGGGGAACCGCCATATACAATACATCCTTAATCCTTACGTTGTAGGGACTCAGAAGTGATGTCCATCACGTTGAGATACACCATATCTCGTTTTCCATGCTCCGGAACCCTTTTTGGGGAACTGGAGGTTCCAATATGTTCGGGGACATGTAAGGGAGCCCCTACCTTTTGGGGAACTACAGAACTGGCAGGTTCAGGGCGAGTATGACCTGGAGCTGTATGCCACTTATGCGGGCAAATTGCAATCATGGTAAATAATCCCCTCTTCTCAAGAGTAGTCCCGAAAAAGTGCCATCAAAAGGGATTGCCTGGACCTCCAAGTATGACATCTGCAGCAACCTAAGGTCAGCACCTTTTCAACGGTGTAACGAGTTCCACGTCGTGGATTGCAGAAGATGATGTCAACCTTCCACAAGCAAACTTGTTTAGGGCTTAGGTTGTCATGCTACTCTTAGAAACTCCCACATGTGAGTGAGGTCGTCAACACCTAACTTGGGGTCCCCGTTCTCTCCCGACAAGCATGCTAACCTAAACGGCAGGATAAGATGATCATGTGTGCATGAGTATTTCTGAGATGCATCGCAAGATTGCGGGATCTAAGGATGCCGAAGAAGGGCGCATGATCTTCAGAAACCTTCTGCTTGAAACTCCACAGTCACCACATGCACCCATATGATCGTGTATGAGCGTCTCCAACAAATCAGGGGTCCCCAGTTGAGATTCCCCAAAATTCTAGCGTATTGGGGTGTAGAAAGAGCCCCTATTTTGGAAACCCCCAGCATGCCCAAGACACATGCTCATGTTACCTGCAACCCTCTTGCTAGAATACATGGTAGACGTATTCCTGTTATAGTCCCACTATTCTTGAGGTTCCCTGTTAAATTAGAGTCCCTAAACCCTAAACCCTAACGGGTCCCCTTCTAGAACAGCATCAGCAGATCAGAGCCAATCCCCCTAAACCCTAAATCCTAAGCCCTAAATCCTAAACCCTAAATCGTCCTAAACCCTAAAACCCTCCTAAACCGCAAGAGGAGGCCTCGCAGGCGTCCTTGCGAACCGTTCCCCAGAAGGCACTAGCCTCGGTCGATTCCTACAGTTGGCTTAGGGTGTAGGGTTTTGGGTCTAAGCCCCAAACCCCAAACCCTAAACCCTAAATTGGCATTTTATTTGGGATCCCTAAAACGGAGAATCAAATGGAAAGGAAAATGAAATTGAAGCTACCATATAGGGGGATTGTGCGGTGATTATGTACCCTCAGCACTGCCCAGGCTTGATTTCGGGGAATGCACCAGGCCTCATGGTGGGTCCTGCAGGCTTCCAATCAGGGGCTGATGGCGGAACATCCCTAAACCCTGAACCTTGGGTACTGCCCCCCCTCAGTAACAGTTGGATAATAAATATAATATGGTTACATATAGCCCTTAAAAGGACCCCTAATATAGACTGTTACTGGGGGGGCAGTACCCAA